CCCTCTGAAAAAACAGAAGTGCTGCCCACTCTCCCCCGAAGCTGGCAGCCTGTGTGCAGGCGCAACAAGGAAGCAGATGAATTATTCCTAATTTCTGCTCAGCTGGTCACCCCAAGATCCAAAACACCTGCAGGTGCTGTGGTGGCTTCTCTTTCCTACACAGCAGGAAATTGGCTTATTTTGGCATTGATTTGTTCATCCCCAAGGCCAGTCTTATTTATTTCTGCAGTCCCAAAGAGATGGACCAGCACAGAGTACAATACCCTGCAAGCACATCCCAGTTGCAAGTTGAATAAAATCTGTGACATTTTGGCAAAAATCCCAACAGAGAATTATAGCCAGCAAAGTCAACCCAGACTAGTAAGCACCAAAGGTTAGGGGAACAGGGGTCAACACCAAATACACTAAGCTCACCACTGATGGTTCTCAAGAACAGTTCTGTGCCTCCATCAGAAGTGGCTTATGCACAGTCAATCCCACTTTCAAGGCAAATAGTTGACCTCAAAAGGTCTCTTCCAGCGGGGTTTGTTGTTTTTTTTTTTTTTTTTTAATGACCCGGAAGAAGTCAGCAAGGCTACTACATCTTTGCAAGATCAGGGCCTTGAGAATTATTTATAACTGCAGCTGCACCTACTGAAAAGTAATGGGATTTAATTAATACTATGGTACTGCACTAAAACTCAATAGTATTATTTTTATAATATACATATTGGACATCTTATTTCTTGTTAGAGGCTGAAGCATGTTCTAGCATTCACTGTTTTATTACCCTTAGCCTGCCAAAATTCTTGAGGTTCTCCTAATTACTCTATCTTCTTTTAAGATACTACTATCATGAATTTCAGACTTTTGTCTCCAGTTTCTCTTAAATGTACATTTATACTGACATCTATTTCCTCTGCCTCTTAAACTATAGCTACTAAAACATTACACTGTCATAAGTGTGGGTTTAAAGCCAGAGAGGTTACTTAACATAATTTAAAAAAAAAAAAAAAGTAGTAAAAGATCCTGTTACCATCAATGGGAGACTTACACTTTTGAAGCAGGATCAAGTTTCCAGGGAAAAGACTTGGTGAAAGCTGACAAACAAAATTATTGTGGCTAAGTTTACAGAAAGAAAAACATACTCTGCGAATTAAGTCTGGAGCTCCTCCTGCTGTTCAACTTACAAAACAACAGAAATAGTAACAACGGTAGAAGCAAAGCGTGAAAATAAAGGTAGCCTGATATGACAGCAAATATAATCAAAATTCAATAATCCAAAAGCATGTGAATATCCTACATTCTTCAGAAGTAAATATCCAGCTCTTAAAACTAATTACAAGGAATCTAATGAAGGATTTGTTTCCTTAATCCTCTTCTAATACAGAATAAACATATATTTAGAATATAAAAAGTATACATTTAAAATATACAACATAAAGATATAAAACAGACACATTAAAAATAAGTCATGAGTTTCAGTGTCATTTGAGACAAATTAATGCAGGTGGTCAAAATCTGGAAAACTAAAGAGGAAGTAAAAGATCACATCAGGATGCCAAGGTCACGGGTTCAATCCCTGCTCACTGCAGGGGGGGTTGGGCTAGATGATCTCTCAAGGTCCCTTCCAACCCAAAGCATTCTATGATTCTATGATGATCACATTGTCTAATGTTTGCTCACAACATTTCTGTTTTGGTCTATACAACCGTATTTACAAACAGGTAACAGTAAACCTTTTTCAACAGACACAGACACTGTCCCATCTAATATTTCTTGCACCCCGTAGTGGTGCATGTGTGACATAATAGAACATTGCTGAGTTACTTAATCAAGAACTAAACCCCTGCAGACTCTTTATACCTAGGTTTGTAAAGCTAATCTGTATCTTGTGTACCTGACAATATCCAATATCTAGGAAACTATAGTTCTGTACATCATCTGGAGCCACAGTGACAAAAGTAGTCCAAAAGAAATACCCAAAACCCATACATTTGCTTCCCTTTCAAAACAAAAAAAATTACTAAGCAGAAAAAAAAAGGAATTCCTAACAATACAGAAATCAACCACACAAACTACTACTGAGTCCCAAAACACGACAGACAAAAATGCAAGCCATGCTCTGCACACAGCACTATTGCAAATACGACCATGGCATTTCTGCAAAAGACTTAAAGCTAAAAGTACATTTCTTCCAAAAAAGAGAAACCCTTGAAGAACAAAATAATTAATCTACTAAACAAAGAATACTAAGAATGGGAGAAATGCATGACAGGTAAGTATATCTTGTTTGAAAACATACTTTGTCATTCCATGATGCAAAACCCCACAATAAAATAGGATACAGTAAGTAAAAATTAAATAAAATAATTTATTTCTCTTATGAATAAACAAAATGAAACATGATGCAATTAAAAAAACCCCACCAAAGTATAAATTATTTTCCCAGGAGTAAAAGAAAAAACCCAAACCAAGGAAGACAACATCACATTTCCTTAGAGATGTAATTTGATACTACAAGATATTTGGCTCAGTTAGAAAGAGAGTAACAACAAATAGCCAAAAGTCAAACTCCTGCCAGAATGAAGCTTTGTGACACATATGGTTCTCATCTTCCAGTTCCAAAAGTGTTGAACTGAACATACCATAGCATCCAAGGGGCATTCAAGAAAGGATGTGGTCAAACAGAGGTAAATACAAATACAAGACAAAGGATAGTGGATTCACATTTACATAGATAATAAGTGGCAAATAGAACATGTTTAGGGCACAGACATGACAAGGTATATTCCTGTCCTCTGGTTGTTGTATGAATACTCTCTGACTCTTGCCTAGTTTCAGTCATAAAGCACAGCCACTAATACTATGCCGTGGAGAAGTGAGTTTTACTTTTCAGGGCTGACTACCCAGTATCCAGGACCCTGATAAATACCTACAATATGGGCAGAATGAATGTAAATCATTGTTAAGTCATTGCCAGATCAAAAACTTTTCCCAAAGACAGACCACTATACAGAAAACAGGACAGTGAAAGACTTAAGCCCTTGGTTTTTAGAGAAACACTGCTGCACACGATGGAGAGGAAAAGTACTTTTCCTTCCCTGTCTTGTAGATGCTTGTACACCTGCCAGAAAAAAATACTCCTGCCTAACCTGGAGGGAGAAAAAGGTTGGGTCCCAATCCTGCATTGTAATCAGAGAGGCCCTACATAGGTTCAGGAGATTCTTCACACTGATCCAGCTGCCAGCCTTGGTGCCTGAATAAATAAAAAGTAGCAAAGATACAGTGCCAATGACTTGGTCTGTTTTACCTACAGTTCTCCCTTCATAAAGCTACCATGCAATTCTTAAAGTAAAGTAACTTTATTGGGTCTTTTACAAAGCCCCACAAGGAAAGGAAATATTTTTCCTCCTAATGCCAAAATGAGCAGAATTTTTGTGATCACCAGCAACTCAATTACAATACGGTTAGCTTCATGAGATGATCTAAGAAGGACAATAAGACAGTTTCAGAAGACACTCCTCCAGGAGGAGAAAGAAACAGAGCCTTCTACACCTAATGCTCTAACCCTTATGGGATACGCTAATTCTGCAAAAAGGGAAAGCAGACACTATAGGAAATGTAGAAAATAAACAGGATATGTAGACAATAAATTTCATCAACATTTGACAGTAATGCCAAGCACTATGTATCAGAATGTAGTTCTTGCTGTTTTGAAGACACTATATAGGCAAGGTAAAGGAGATCTGTAAGCTACAAGATAGTATCTTCAATGAGTGTGACAGAGCTCTTCCACAGACTGCTGTTGACCGCTGTAAGATGGGACTTGGAGCTAGATGGACCTTGACTCTCCTCCAGCATAACCACTACTTTGTTTCCACTTTCACAGAAGCGTGTCCAGTTTAAAACAAAAGCAGCCACTCCCAGGCCATGGCACAAACAAGCAATCCACGTGTACACTGTGGAGTTCTGCGTGCTCCAGCATCGGCTACTGGGAGCAGACCCAGCAGCTGGACATCCCTCTCCTTCCCCTGCACGGCAAGTTCTGCGCACCCAGGACACAAACATTGCTGCACATACATAGCTCACTTCCCATCTGAGCATGCAGTAGCTTAAGACAGGGCCAATATTAGAGCTGCTGCTCATAGAACTACTGCCTCAGTAACAAAGTACAAGAAAGCAGCAGAACAGCCAGGCCAACTGCTGGCAACGCTTCCATGCCATGTCTATACTACCATACCTTTCCGATCCAGAGTAAACTACTACTTTAATCAGATGCATCCAGCCTAAGTTTGTTTAAAAAACAAAACCCTACGAATCTGCAGTGAAGGAATATTTTTCCTCCCCCTCTTGTGAGAGAAGCACAACTTGAAATTGTCTTTTCCAACACAAACCTAAAAGGTCACCACTGCTGATCTAATAAAGGCAACATGCAGGGCTCACATCTTTCAGAGCTGGCATCTCATTATATGCAAAGGTCTTGTGCACTATTTAAGTCTGTATAGAGGATTTATTTCCCAGTCTTTGCAGGAGAGATGTGAATGAATTCTATCCAAAAACCGTGAAGATCTACTCAGGAAGCTGCTATTTCAAGTCTGTAGAAGGGGATGATAGGTGCATGTTCAACAAGAAGTACAATGCAGTTAAAACATGAAGAGCAGTTGGATTGTATTCAGTGATCAAAATTTATTTTTAAACATTACTGCAGCTCAGCTAAGAGCTAAAAGCAAAACAAGAATAAGGATTTTCTAGCTGTTCTGAACCGATGTCATCCTCTTATATCTTCAAAGAGGGCCAATACTTCCCCATAAAACAACAGAGGAGCCAAAAACTTCTACAGGCATTCCAGCAGTAACTAAGAAATGTTACAAACAACTGCCCCACCACTCTTTATTTTTTCATATTGGAGTACATCTTCAAAGAAGGAAATCCTGTTTACATTGCGGACTTTCTTTATCCTTATTGCAAGGAATGAAATAAAGACACTCATTTACATTACAATCACGAACATAAAGAGCTTACCTCTCAGCACGAAGGACACCACTGTAGTAAGGGTGATCCCATGGCATCAGCTTCTGAAAGAGAATTCCAGCTTATAATTACAATGCACAACAAGTGAACCCAAAGTAAAAGTTTTGTTTCCTTTGAATATTTTTGCAGTTTCAACAAGTCACAGAACTTTAAAACATAATGGGCAACATTCAGTGCTAAAAACATCATCAGAAATAGCATCACATATCACAACTTGACACCTGTTTTTTTAACATTTCCTTGAAGATGGTACTTCTTATAGAAATAATAATATATATTATATATTGGGAATATAATGGGACTTCATACCAGATTTCAAAAAATACACTAGTTTCAAATAAAAAGATAAACCTAGTTATGTACAGAATCAGGATACGTATGTATGCAAACTGGACAGGCATCTAACCTGAAGTACAGCCTTTATTTTTCAAGTGAGTCAATTAACTCAAAACAAAGTAATATTCACTTTCACCACTTTATGTTTTGGTTAACTCAGCATCATTTGTATAAACCAACAGCTACCTCGCACTCAGTGCTTGGTTTTAATACAAACAGCAGCTAAGCAGTCAAAAAGCATTTCAAGCCAGAAAGTTTCTCTTTCTAATTATGCTATGCGTTGTACACTAAAATAGAGTTAATTTTTCTTGTAGAACAAGGTTAGCCTATATTATATTTTTAAAAAGAAACAGAACAGAAAACCACAGGTGAAAATTTAACTTACTGAATTCTGGGGGTTGAGCTTCATTTTTATCTTCGTCATCATTTCAAAATCTTTTTGAGTTCTGAAAAATATTTTTATGATGAAAGTGTTAATGAAAGATTTTTGAGCTATGGAATACAGTACACAATATACTCCATCCTAAGAAAATGCCCACCATCGCAGATTGATAGTACTCTGTAAAATGGCAGGCCCATATACTACAGTAAAAGAACTTTTCCATTCTGCTTCCGTCACTCAGGTATCTTCAAATCAAGCCCCTCTTACTCTGGTTGGACACCTCCAAAGCATTTTCTTTCTTAGAATACACCTCATTTATACACAGTGATGAAACTGTTTTATGCTGTGTGGAACTTAGGGAGGCAAGAAGGACAAACAGGGGAATCTGCTTATAGATGTAAAAATATATGGAGTTGTGTGTATGGGGAGAAGAGAAGGAGAGGTGTTCTTCAACACTTAAACTTGGTCTTCTTGTTTGCTGTTGCCTGCATTTCTTGGCATACCACTTGTTGTATTCAGTCCTGGGTGTTCTCAGACAGAATTTATTCTAAGCCAACAGCTCCCCTCAAAACTCTGAGAAAGCCTTGCTTTTTGTTTCATCAGAGCATATAATAAACCACACTGACTTAGTAGCGCATAAGTCCCTCTATTCTTCAAATAAAGAGTATGGTTAGAAAAACAACTTAGTGCAAAAGAGATACCTTTTAGACAACTGGTCAGAAAGCTTCTCCAGAAACTGTCTTACTGTCTCTAGAAGTTAAATGGGGGAAGAGAAAAAAAAAAAATAAGAAAGTGATTTCTTTCCTTAAAAGATGTTAAGTTTACATCAAAATGTTCCTAACAAAACAAGCTCCCTTAGAACATCAAAGTTCTTTTTAGAACAACAAACTACTTCATTGACCACTGTGCCATCATTTCAAGAGAATTTAGTACCACATTTACTTTGTTACATGCTGGTATAATGGCAACTTCATAATCTAAGGAGTGAGCATTGATTCTGAACAAAAACACTGGTTCCTGCTCAGTGAGTATTGCCATTTATAGAAAGCATGAGTATTGCATACGGCAAAAAGTAACTGCAATGAGATACTTCACTGGAAGAAGTATGTGTAAACTTCGCAAAAGAAACTAACAGCTTTTGACCTCATACCTAAACCAGTGCATCTGCTTTCTCAGCATGTCCTTCCACACATGCCTTATACCTGGATTTTTGGCCATTGTTCCCTGAAGAGCCCTGTGGGCAAAGGTGTCATACCCAACCAACTGTGCCAGACTGTTTCGGCTAGCAAGCAGTTCTTCTAAACGGCTCAACTGCTCAGCATTTGGGTAAAGAAAAATCTTGTAAGCAGCTTCTCGCACCTAATAAAAAAAAAAAAATAAAAAGGTCACATTAGTACAGTGCAATTTTTAAGGGAAACAAGTGATGCAATTGAAGATCTGGCATTACAGCTGTATTTCACAGATACCGTTGGGAAAAGGCCTAAAGCCTTTTAACAATAGTAATTACGACTGTCTGACAATTACAGCTCTCTTATCCATTAAAGATGGAAGGAGGAAATGCAATGAGACAACCTAACAGATCAAGACTGCCAAAAAGGGTCCTGTTCACTACTCCTGTCAACAGTCCCCTCTGCTCGTTGCCTCTCTCCTGCCAACATCTGTGCTTCTAAGACCACTCTGTGGGCTGTCTTAACTTACTAAAACTTCTGAAAATAAATGCAAAAGCAAGCCAAATTGTTCTCTGCACATCAGTTAAGCTGGCTTATGGAAGGATCTGATAAAGAACAAGAGACAGGGTCAGGGGAGAGAAAAAAAGAGGAAGAGAAATGCCGTACTTCTTTTGAAGTAGCAAACTATTAGTCTGCCCATCTGCCCACGAACAGTCTTTCTCCTATTTCTGGTTTGTTTGGGTTCTTTCATAACTCTCAAAAAAAAAAAAAAAATCACCTCAAGCCTCAGAAAATTTGGTAAAATGCTTTTTATGTTTCACAAACTGATTGAAAAGAATCTTTATTTTGTACATATGGAATAGGCTTAAGAAATCCATCAACAGCTTATGCTTGTCTTCATTTGAAATAAGCTTCTCTTTTGGATAATATATTCAACAAGAATGCAGGTCCTGGGTTTATAAAAAATATGACTATAATAATTCAGAAGTCATTTCATACCTGTTCTGTTCCACCAAGCATTCATTTTAAAAAAAGCAAATAAAGTAAGTGAGATGATTCCTCCTCCTTGACCACAGTTCAGCAGTGTGTCTTTGTAGCAAAGGCCACCAACATACTGAGCTCTTTTATTAGAAAGACTACAGCCATCTGGTCCACGGACGTGATTGCTTTCCTCGCCATCTTGGTGGCCTCCACTGAAGTCAATCCTAAAGGGTGATGAGTAAAGGGCTATAATCTCTTCCCTCAGTCTCTGGCTCTGCCCCGTTCATGCAGTCCAGGATGCTGTTGGCCTTCCTTGCTGCCAGGGTCACTCACTGCTGGCTCATGCTCAGCTTGCTGCTCAACAACTCTCTGGGCCTTTTCCACAGATCAGACCCAGCCAAGCAGTCCCAGCCTGTACTATTGCCAGGAATTCTCCCTTTCCAGGTGCAGGACTTCGCATTTGTCCTTCTTGAATTATATAAGGCTCCCACTGGACCATTCCCTCAGCTTCTAGGCCACTCTGAATGTCAGCCCTGCCCTTCAGTGTATCAATTGTTCCTGTCAATTTGCTATCACCTGCAAATCTCGTAGGCAAGCTCTCTGTCACTTCCTTTAGGTCACTGATAAAGATGTTAAAACAGGAGAGGTGCCAGGACAAACCCCTGCAACACTTCTTTCATTACCAGCTTTCCAGTAGAGTACAACACTTCAATCACTACTCTCTGAGTCTGATCATAAAATGAGGTATTTTTACCTGTCTGTTTGTTCACCAGTCCAGACTGCAATCTCCTAACTTGGATTGCTCCATAACCTTCCTAGGTTGCCTGTAGTTCCCCAGTTTGGGCTTTTTTCGCCTTTCTGAAGGTGGGTGGAACATATTTCCACTAGTCATTGTTTCCACTAGATCAGGGCTCCTCCCTGATCATCACAGCCTACCAAAGGCAGCAAGCCTTTCAAGGACAACAGCCTGTTCTCTCTGGACCCTTGGATGTAGCGCATCTGGTCCCAATGACCTGTAAAGGTTGTGTTCTCTCAAGTAATCCCAAACTGGATCCTTCTCTACTGCTGGTTGTTCTTTTCTTTGAACCCTTTCACTAAGCACAGTGGGCTGGGAGAACTCATTGGTGAACACTGAGGCAAAGCAAGCTATCAGCATCTCAGCCTTATCTGTGTCTGCTGCTACTAAGTCACCCACCTTACTAAGCACTGAGCCCACCTTTTCCTTGTGCACTCTTTTAGTACTAATGCAGCAGTAGCTGCTCTTCTTGTTGCCTTTGATGCCCCTTGCAAGTCTCAACTGCAGCTGAGCTTTGGCCTTCCTGACATCATCCCTACGTGCACAGAAAATATTTCTAAATTCCTCCCTTGTATCTTGTACCTGCTTCCACCTCATGTCTGCTACCTTTTGGAAATGAAGCTTTGTCATGAGTTCCCGGCTTGCCTAGCCTGGTTCCTGATACATCTGCTTGGCTTTCTAAGGATCAGGATGCACTGATACCGAGTATCTTAGTATCCTCATGTGCTTGAAGGATGCTACCTTTAAAGAACTGCCAGCTTTCTTGAGCTCCTTTACCCTTCAGAGCTGCATCCCATGGGATCCCACCTCCCAGTTTACTGAACAAGCTGAAGTCTGCTTGTCTGAAATCCAGGGCCTGTATTCTGCCCCTCTTCTTCCTCAATCCATTCAGGATCCTCACCTCCATTATTTCATAGCTGCTAGAGCCAAGGCTGCCCTTGATTATTATGTTCTAAACCAGTTCTTCCTCAACCATATGCATTTGCCTCAATAACAAGTAAAATAACTGACACGCACTTTTGCTACAGAGTATGCCAAAGCAAATTTGGGGAATACACACCAGATCATCAGAACAATCAGCATGCAGACCAGCAACTTGTAAGTAATTGCCTTCAGCTGTAAAATTATACCGAATATGCTCTGGCAAAACATTTTTGTCAATCTTGTTGGGAAGGTGAGCTCCTGTCAGAAATTCATTACATAAATCCAATATTCTGACGTTGAGGTTGACTGCCTTTTTACGCTGTAAGAAAAACAAAGTACAAAATACATAATATCTTGAGACATAGTACAAGCAGAACTCAAAGTTTCTAAAACCTTAAAGGACTTTTCCAGAAATGAAGCAGAAAATACAACATTTAAGATTAGACCTACAGCATCAACAAAATCCTAATGTAGGGCTGAAGTCAACAAGATCAGATGTTCATACAGATCTATAATTTCACACAGGATTGAAATTTGAAAGAAAATGCCTATGTTTCTGCAGTAAGAAAATGTACAGCAGAGTTTAAGTAGAATTAACATAAGCTTTGCTAGCTGCTTGGAAAGCATTTATAAAACTATGCCTAATATGATTGCTATGTAAAACACAGAGCAGAAAAAAAGAAGCATCATTGAGATGGATAAATCCTACTGGCATCCTGAAATAGATACAGAATTACAGTTCTCTTGTTACTCTTTGTACTGCACTATTTTCTGGAGACTGTAAAGCATTTATGGTATTTCAACCTTTCCCTGAGGAGTTTGTATTTAGGGCTTTACCACTATGATCACAGTATTTCACACATTTAAGCTTACTGTAAGATTTGCTTCAATGAATTTGCTCATATTAGTAGAGTATGCTCTCTATTGCCTGCGGGTCCATAGCTCAAGAGAAAAGGCTGAGGGTACAGATACAACATACTTGTAAAGTCCAAAGAATGACAAAACCTGCAGATCTCTGTCTTCCCATTCCACCCCTTACTCTTTAAAACACATCTTTTGAGTTTTATTTTAAAAAGCAGAAATTCTTTCTAGCAGAAGTAAATTTCAACTTACAACAGTGAGGGATGTCTAAAGTCTGAAATGAGAATTGAAAAGAAACACTGAGCAGCAAGCAATAGAAGAAAAGTGAAATAGGCAGGGGAAGAAGAGGAAGATGTGCAAAAATACGGGGAAAGAGAAATCCTAACTGAAAGGGGGTGAAGCACTGTAGAACCAATTTGCCAACAGGCAAATCAGAAATAAAACCTAGAGTCCAAATGTCAGAGTTCTTCTTTGTACAAAGTAATTGTAAAAATATATTCTAGAAGCATTTTCCAGGTCACAAAACACCACCACAACCATGATCTTCAGAGTAACTTTACCACATAGATCTGGTAAAAGAGACTTTTTATGGATCTTTTTGGAGGGGATGACTAAAATAAACAAAGTATTAACTTTATACAGGGACATGAGCTATGAACAGACATCCAACAGAGCATCCATACCACAAAGCATGGTGAAAGCTGATGGTTTTGGCAAATCCATCACTAACTACTGCAAAAGCATCTAAAAGCTCCAAGAGAGGTAATCAGACCATGCCCAGACATTCACTTTTGAACAAGATTTACAACTTCCGGTTATGTGAGCACCAAAGGAGAGCCTGGAGACACACCTGATCCCTTCTAAAACACTCTACTTGATTAACCTGTCGTCACAGTGCATGGGGTGCTGCTTTTCCCCAGTCTGTAAACAGGTTGTTCAGACAGCTAAGCAGCTATTTTAAATATCTGATGCAGACACCAAACAAAGAAAGCAGGATTGCAGGTCTTGCTTATAACTCTTCAGAACAGACAAAGGAATGATGAGGGCCGAACTGGGAAGAACAGCCAACTAATACCTAAAACAACATTAAAAAAACACACCTTAGAAGTGATTTAAAATAGACAAAACAAATCACTTCTGAGAAGACAAAATTCCACAGAGGACAATGGGAATCTTGGAGGACAAACTGGCCCAGAATCACATGACTCATGTCTCACATGTTTCATTATCTGGTCTTTGGTAGTCAGGCAAATTTCTGTTCATATATTGTAGCCAAAAATTACCTTTTCTTCATCCAAATGAATGCCACTGATTTCAAAATCAAACATAAAAAGTTCTGCCACTTGCCTAAAAATACAGTAAATCCCCGTTAAAACAGCCTCATTTGATAGTAAGCATAATTTCTTAACAGATTTTGCCCTTAGTAGTTACATAGGTTTCATGTCTTTTACAGAGAATAACACCACAATTATATAAGTATTGCTATTATGGACACAGACTTCCTATGGTTTAGGTCTTTTAACAGCTTACTCAGTGAAACAGGATTTTTCCTTTATAGTTATTTTAGTCATCTGCATTGAAAATATCCTTCAAAATAATTCCACTACATTAATGTAGATGTTTAACCAATTTGTGCAAATTACCATTTAACTTTGAGACTTCATTTATTCTTAACAGATCAGAAAAAGACCTCTTCAAATCTAACATCCTTGATTGTGAGGAAAGAAGGAAGAAGGAAGTAACTTACTCAAGCATTAAGCTTGTCTAACCATGTCAGCGAAGAAATTATTCAAAACTATAACTGAATAAGCAGCTAGTAAAACATTTTACAGCAATCAAAGTAAGCTTTAAATAAATATACTGATAATCTCATTTTGAGAGATATAAGTTTCTAGAAACTGAAACCAAGTTACATAGTCTGTTCTCTACTTTTATTGCTAAAAACACTGACATATACACCACAGTACAGCACCTCATTTTAATCAAAATGGTGTTATTGCAGAAACTCTTCAGTTCTCATTTTTTTGTTTTTGCAGATCTCAGTTATTCAGCTTAAATATATGTAGTGCTCTACAGTCACAGAGACATCCTCCAAGACTACACAACTACAAACTTCCTAACTCCTATGCAGGTAACTTAGTAGTGACTAATAAATTAGTAACAGAGATGTGGTATGTTTTCCAGTTGTATAATTAATTTAACAAAACACAAAATATAAGCACAATACGGAATGATATATACCATCTAAAAATCTAAATCTGTAAGCATTAATAATAAGTACCTGGTTTCTGGATCTAGGGAACTCATAACAATTTCATCAGCTAGCAGACGTCTCAAACTCTGACAAAGTTCAACATCTGTATTTAATCTGGAAAGACAGAGAGTAAAACAATCATGCATTAGCAACAAACACTACTATGTCAGTTTCTTGGCATTACTCAATCAAAGGCAGAGCTTAATATTTACTGAAACAACATTAAAAACCAAGGAGTGTATTTTCAAAATGCTTTCTGGTTCACAACCACACTTAAAAACTACAAGATTTGTATACAAAGGATGCATGGACAAATTGCCATGGAAACAGGTCTTGTGCATCCAATAGGAAAATATTTCTGGATGGCATTTTGCGCCAAATATGAGTAAGTCTAAGACTGACAGCTTACTTTTTATGCACAAAGATAATCACAGCGAGAGCATAAAGGTGGGAGAACTGTTTTCTAATCCTTATTTTGAAAGGACACCATTAAAGGAAAACCTGTGCTCAAGTTTGCCATCAGATAAATGTGCTGCTGGCTGCCACTGAAGACGACTAAGAGCATACTATCCCCAGAACATTTCCAGATGCACATCACTGTCCCTGTGCCAGACAATACTATATCCATCAGATTTGCTGGCATGCTAGCTACAAGCATGTATGTCAACCTGGATTATTGGGTGGGAATCACAGTGGGGAATGAAACACACACACATACATCAGCATAGCTGTGGTGGGCAGCAGCCTCCAGCCTGACAGTCTTGAGCACTAACTTCTTAAATCAGCTGAGGTGCAGGAAGCCTCTGCAGCCCCATTCGTAAAATGAACTTAATAATTACCAACACCCAATTCAGAGACAGAAGACGACATTACATCATGCCTGTACTTCAGAAAAGGCTCTGTACAGAAGGTGCTAAATAAGGACCCCAGCACTCTGTCAAAAAGTGGCTAAAAGCAGGTATGTATTGTTAGTAGTTCCTGAGGGATACCATTTGCCCCTGAAAATGAACATTCAACAATAGCTAGTTTTGAGCATTTATAATAGTTTATGAACCTCTGAGGTTAATTTGTGAATACTTTCTTCTTTCTATAAATTTTAAATCTGAAGTGGTATTCAATATTAAAGTCGTATTGTTATAGATGGCATGCTCAATCTAAGTCTTGAAAAGTCCAGTTTCAAGTGAAACGTTTCCCAAATACAGTGGCAAGACCAAAGCAACAGTTTCTGCTGAATTTAATCTTAGAATTCTCTTTTTAGCCAGCCGTGGTAGTCACAAGGCTTACTAAGCAAACTGATGCACTGCTGTCCTCCTCAGAGTACAAAAGGCTTCACTGCCTCTGCAATTTACTGTGGGACACCAGGTCAACCAGTCACTGCCTCCACTGTTACTAGGATTCCTGAGGGAAGCAGTAGACTCTGGGTCACCTTCACAATACTGCTTGGTTAAGCTTTCACTTAACAAGGCTACTCCTGAATGCCACAGGAAGGGAACATACTGAAAGGACACTGTATTTGGAGATTAAAGATCACCCCTTTCCACCTTCTCAACAGCAAGAGCAGAAAAGAAGCAAATCAGTTCACTGTAATCAAGGACCACAGAGGTAACTTTCAGGACTTAGGTTTTAAGATATTTAAAAAAAAAAAAAAAAAGGACTCAAAGAAGAGGCAAACTTCAGACTTCAGAGAAAGAAGTCTTTAAGAACATGTTCTATGAAATGGGGTTTTAAATCAAGCACAAGCATGCCAGGGTAGACCAGGCATATATCACAGCCCTAGACAAACACAACCTCAAACACTCATTTTAAAGGGAGACTGTCCTTTCCGCTTTCACATATCCCACTTACTGGCTGGAATTCAAGGGGTCAGCAAACCAGAAGAAAAAGTATTGTGAAATATAACAGCTTAAATCTTAAAAACAAATTAGCATTTTGTACATATGCTTTACAACAGCTAGTTAACTGTCACAAGTCCTAGAAAAATGTAGCTTTGAGTCTTTGATGGGTTTCAGTGAAATGGAGTCAGTTGATAACTTAAAAACTGTTCAGAACATAAATTGAAAGTAAAATAGAATAACCTTTCATGAGACACTGTAACGAAGCTAAATCCTTAAATATTTGTAACAGCAAGACTGACACTTTTTTCTCATGTGCAAATCCTTCCTACATTTTTTGTTGTTGATTGCTGTTTTCATAGATGATCATACAGTAGTTTTTAAAGATGCGTATGGAAATAGAAAAAAAAAAGAAAACATACTTCTCTACCACAGTACCAATGTTCCTGCAAGCTTCTTCAGCAGCCTCTCTGAATGCAAGGTCAGGATGGGCAATTTTCACAAAATCAGCCTGACATAGTAGAAGAAGAAAACAGTGAGGTAAAAAGACAAATAAAAAAATCTTGAATTATAAACAAAGTTGCACTCAAGTAGTTCCATTTACATTAACATTTATTTCTACTGTTCTGTGCAATGTATTTGCAGAATCTGGGGGTTTTTTTCTAAAAAATAAAGCTTATTGGAAAACTGTTCTGACAACTATTAAACCAGACAGCAAATGTGTCTTTCCAAAAAATATCTTTCATCCATACTCTTCTTAAAAACAGTTCTAGTACGGTGTGTATCTCAGAGTCCTTACAACAGATACTCCAATGTATTTAAATATTATTACAAAAGATTTTTGAAACCAAAATTCACAGTTAAGAAGAAAGCACACCACCAAATGTGCATAGAGGGTTTGTTTTTAAACCCTTTTTACATTTCTAGAGGGTAAGATGGCCCTGCAGAGGGACCTGGACAGGCTGGATCGATGGGCCAAGGCCAGCTGGATGAGGTTTAACAAGGCCAAGTGCCAGGTCCTGCACTTCGGTCACAACAATCCCATGCAATGCTACAGGCTTGGGGAAGAGTGGCTGGAAAGCTGCCTGGCAGAAAAGGACCTGGGGGTGCTGGTTGACAGCCAGCTGAACATGAGCCAGCAGTGTGCCCAGGTGGCCAAGAAGGCCAACAGCATCCTGGCTTGGATCAGGAATAGTGTGGAGCAGGGAGGTGATTGTTCCCCTGTACTTGGCACTGGTGAGGCCGCACCTGGAATACTATGTCCAGTTTTGGGCCCCTCACTACAAGAAAGACATTGAGGTGCTGGAGCGTGTCCAGAGAAGGGCAACAAGGCTGGTGAAGGGTCTGGAGCACAGGCCTTATGAGGAGCGGCTGAGGGAACTGGGGTTGCTTAGTCTGGAGAAGAGGAGGCTGAGGGGAGACCATATGGCTCCCTACAACTACCTGAAAGGAGGTTGTAGGGAGGTGGGTGTTGGTCTCTTCTCCCAAGTAACAAGAGATAGGACAAGAGGAAATAGGCTCAAGCTGCATCGGGGAGGTTTACAATGGATATTAGGAAAAATTTCTTTACTGAAAGAGTGGTCAAGCATTGGAACAGGCTGCCCAGAGAGGTAGTGGAGTCACCATCCATGGAAGCGTTCAAAAAAAGGGTAGATGTGGTACTTCGGGACATGGTTTAGTCTAGTCTACCCTTGATTGGTTTAGTGTGGACTTGGTAGTGTAGGTTAATGGTTGGACTGGATGATCTTAAAGGTCTTTTCCAACCTAAATGATTCTATGATTCTGTATAGACCATGAAGTTATGCTTTGACATCATTACCTAGTAGGAAGAAATATGTCTAAAGAAAAAAAACAGAAGTTCTTCTGGATTCAGAACAGGGTTTTTATTTGACTTACTGATTTTTAGTAAGTCTCCAAATACTTAAAGGAGTTCAGAAGGCTAGAAGGATGCTAAAAGGGAGCTAGGTGCTTCCATGACTGCTGACGTGAATTCAAGGAGGTTCTGGCATTGAAATGATGAAGAATTACAGATTAGGAATATATTTAATTAAAGATTAGGAATACACTGAAGACATTCAGCATGATATTACAGAAAGTACAAGAAACAAGCTTGACTTTGTTTAACAGTATGATTGCAGTTTAACTCAAAAGCCAACCTCACAAATGTTATACACTTAAGATTTTTAATCCTTAGAATCCCTGCTTAAAATCCTGTATAATATTGACAGAATAGGTGCTGAATGGCAGATCTCAAAATTCCTGCCAACAATCACTAAATTGCTTCTAGACAGAGTTCTGCAAGCTTTGCATCTTGGAACATATAAACCTGAAAGTAGTACATCAGTGGTAATTTTAAGTCAGCAAACTGGTACAAAACTATGACCTTTGAATCCTGACGTTAGTGTTTTAGTTAGATATTGATTGATTAAGAGGAATTAGGCATAGTCTATACAAAATGTAAGAGACAGAAGGAGAATTAGTGACTCAACAAAGCATGTAAGTACTTTCAGAAGGAAAAAGTGCCTGGGACAAAAGAAGTCTTGAATCAAGAAAAAGAAACAAGATTTGAGAACTGATATTCAAAGGTGAAAACCAAAGTATTTATTTAAGACTATTTAGTAAGAACTGATTTCAGTATGCAGGTTGAGTCTGCTTCCTTCAAACAAAGTGTGATGCTTTGATAAAAGATATACTTCGGGCAAACAGATTCCAGAGAGTAATATGAAGCGCTCTGTTGAACTTAACATTTTGTGATACAGAGTATCAGACCAAGTAACTCTAATTCCGTGGACCACAGAAACTGCAATCTAGGAAATACCTGCATTTTTTCTTGTGTTAATAAAAGGAGATACTGTTTAGTTTCATCTGCTGCTTTTAATCTGTTCGTTCTTTATGGACCTTCACCTATAAACTTTCATAACTTACAAACGTGTATTGCAACCCCAGCTTTAACTTTGAGAGCAATCCCCTGTTTTCCATAATGTAAGTGACACTGGAAAGCTTATGTATTAATACTACAGCAGAAATACAATTCTGATTTCACTGTTATTTTTCTTGCTGTGGCCTTTATACTATTTTTACATCTGTCTTAAAATTAACTGGACAGTTTGACAGGATTTGTAGTTACCTATCATTCGGTAAAAGCCTTTGTAATTAACTTTCAATCAATTTAATTTTCTGTCTTAACACAAAATTTCACAGAGCTGATCTACTATTTACTGCAGTGCAGAAAACCGTAAGATGGAACAACAGGGTGTAAGCTTATTAAGTCAGTCAGTTTAGAAGAAATTGCTTCAAGTAATAATTAAAACAAAAAGTAACTTACCAAGTCTGCTACTCTGCACAAGCCATCTGAAAGCTGATCAAAGATCATTACGGTCTCTGGCCCAGGTGGTGTTGAACATGCCTTCTGAACTAGCTGTTCCGATTCTTGCAATGCTTTGTCCTGTGCTTCTTGAAATCCTTCTGGACAGCTCAGCTCTGGAACACCAAACAGACCCTGCAGTGCAGAATACAATGAAAACACATCACTGTTACCCTCCTTGATTTCTGCCCCTTTGTTTCAGGATGGAATTATCACCATGAAATTTTACCAAAATGAGCCTAGCTAGCGTATTGTGACACTTCACCAAAATGTTCCCACATGAGTGTCTTTGTAGAGAGAATAGTCACAAAATCAGTCAAAGACACTGGTATCACATGAAAACATCCTCATTTCCCAGAGCAAAACCTCACTGAGGTTCTTTTAGCCAGGATTGTTCTCAGCAAACCTTAAGAGTTCAGCATGAAATTCTCACAAACTCTCTTCTTCCACACCTTCACCTCCATACCATCCTTTTCTCAAAGCATTTTTTACCCTGCTTCCAAAACACAGGCACCAGACAAATCATAGTAAGTACATTTACATTCTGAAATGAGGGAAAATCATCCCTCTGAAGCAAAAGAGACTTATCAAGAAATGCGAGGACTAAACAGGAGTGTTGAAACAATGAGTGAGTTGGGCAGCAGCCCTAGATATCAACGGATTGCTGGCAATAGGACAGTTGTCTCAGGCTCATTAAATGAACCCCAAATACTGGAACGAGATCTCAAAGGAATGATCAGCAACAACTCAAAAATTTTATGGTATGACCATTTTTATTCCTGAAGTTTTTACCAAGTCTGGCCCTGTCCAACAGGGGAGGGCAAACACACTGACTTGGGCAGGGTAGATACAGACAGCAGTTGTGTTCTGCATTTGTGGAAGAGAGTTAGAGGTCCTACTGCAGATCAAACAAAATTGCTAACACTACCAAGTTAGCTAGAGAAGTTCCACAATACAGACCTACAACGGTAAAAAAAATTCATTTAAGATAAACCAGCATCTCTGCAAGCAAGACACTCCCTGTAGCATTGCATGGGGTTGTTGTGACCCAAGTGCAGG